TCGCTCCCCACCGCCGCCATTGCCCTCGCCGCCATGATGAGCGCTCTGGCTCTAAGCCCTCGGCGGCAGCGCCACCTTCCTGCCCTGCCTGCCGCAGCCCCGTGACTCGAGAGCTGCTTCCGCTGCGCTCTGCCCCCTGCGCCCAACGCCTTGCTCACGTAGCCTTGGCATCTGGGCTCCCCAAGGCGGAGGGGTCCCCAGGACATTTTTATTTCACTTCAAGTCCCTGGTGGCCCTGAGGCTGCCCGCTATGTGGTAGTTTTCCCATCGCCTCCGCGAGTATCTGAATAAATAAATTAAAAAAAAAAAAGATGGTAAAGTTCTCACCACTCTTGTTCAGTAAGAAGGAGATAAAAGTGCAGCCGGTACGACACGAAAGCGGAGGGATAAAATTTCGAAGGCGTCTTTAGTCGCGTTTTCTTAGAAACAACTTTGTTGAAAAGCTGCTTTTTAAGGCTGTTAACGCATCTCCTTAACACTATTTACGTTTTCCTGAATCTCGTCCTACTGGATGCTGGTTTTCAGGGTTAAGAAAAGGACAGACATTTTTTTGTGGTATAGGTCTCTCCCCTTCCCCCTCCCCAATATTATTGAAAACCAACATAATGGGATGCCGATTTTATTGTCAGGGTATTGAAATGATTTGCAAAGTTTTCAGATTGAATTCTATCTCATGAGAGACTGTTGATTACCACTTTTCCTGGTAAACTCGGAGCCCAGTCTTGGCGTGGGCTGTGCTGAGATGGTTATGGTGATGCTGGCGTGGTACGAAGTTCGTGGTCCAGAGGTACATGAGACCAGGTGAAATGCTGCAGGCAAGGTAGAACCCCGTAATTCCTGGGGGACCAGGCAAGGTGGCCACTCCCAAGTTCAGGAAAGGGCTCCCACTGTAGGTGACATTTTGAGAAGGTTTTGGAAGAATGAGTGGGAAGAGGTGGGGTGGGGGAAGGACATTTCAAGGATGAGGCTTTTTCTGAAGGAAAAAAATCTCCAAACCAAAAAGCAAGTGTTTACAGTTTTTAGTGGATGCTGTAGCAAGAGGAGTGGTCGGAGTGGGGCTGGAAAAAGATAGACTCTTAAGAGTTTGCTTGCCAGGTGGAGGGAGCAGCAAGAGACTGTCATCGCAGAGGGGTGACACTCCTGATCAATGCCCCGTATTCGCTTAGCAGTTCTAGCTCTAGCCACTAGCTTAGGAAGAGTTCCAAAGTTGAGAAAGAAAGGAGAGTGAATAGCAAATTGATGCGAGCTTCGCGACTAGAAAGGTGATGAATGTTATGAAGTGAGAGGGTGCCATTTTCTGAATGGATGATCCTTCTGTATTGGACAGTTGCTGCTTTTTGCGATCCTAATGGGTCACCCCAAATCTCTTCTTGCTCAGAGATATCATTTTTATAGGAAACAGGGAGAGGTTTTTAATGCTTAATTTGCCATGGTTGAAAATTACAGATGCGTGCTTTGGGTGAAACAAAAAGGAGGAATGAATCCAGCCAGTCCTGTGTTTTTAAGAATGCAGTTTAAGAAAAGTAAGACGAGCAGTTGGGCTTTCAGGTGGCCTTTTGGGCTGGGTGCACTTCACCCTCATGGAAGTAACTGCTGCCTTTGCAGAGTGGATCATTGCGGCTTTTGGCTAAGCCAAGCCTCCTAACTCATGCTTTGATTATTACTTGACAATCCTGGGTGCAGAAATCCCGTGGTACATGTGGGACACTTGTTCTCTAGAATTTTCTGGTGCAGACCTATAAGAAGCCCTGGTGGTGAAACTGGTGTGCTAGGAGTTGGACTGCTAAGTGTAAGGTCAACAGTTGGAAACCGCCAGCATGCTCCTGGGGAGAAAGATAGGGCTTTCTACTCCCATAAAGAGTTACAGCCCTAGAAACCCACAAGGGCAGTTCTACTCTGTCCTTTAGGGTCACCAAGTCAGAATTGACTCAATGGCAGGGAGTGAGTGCACACGTGTAAGAAACATGAGCATTCACTGGAAATGGGCTTCAGGTTTTCTACTTTTCCTAGACTGCAACAGGTTTGAGCAGTAACGGGTTTGAAAAGGACCAAGGGAATTGGCAACTCGCAAGTTTATCAAAAGCTACTTGAAAAAGTTGGGAGCAGTCAGGGGTTGCAGGAGACAGTTGCTAAGGCGGGCAGTGGTGGTTGAGGGGTTAAAGGTGGCCGTGGTTATGAAGGTGTTAAAGGTAAACATAGGTGGGAGAAGAAGCTGTTACTCCTGTCTTGACAGCTGGGAAAGACAGCTCGGAGAAGAATAAGAAGAGAGAATTCTATTATGTCATAGTATAGCAGGGTTACTATCCCAGCACAGCAACATAGCCAAACCAAACATTGCTACCAAAACAATGCCAACTCATAGCGACCTTATAGAACA